GCTCTGCCAGGGGAGTGGAAGGTGCACACACCCCTTACTGCAGAACCTGTCACTGGAGGTCAGTGACCCTGCCAAACTAGGGCACTGTGGCCTCACAAAGGACAAGCATAGTGGAGCTCAGGAATTACAGGGGCAGGGCTGAGGATGTGGCTCAAGCGGTAGCGCGTGCGGCCCAGGTTCGATCCTCAGCACCACATACAAACAAAGATGTATCCACCGAGAACTGAAAAATATTAAAAAATTCTCTCCCTCTCTCTTAAAAAAAATTGTAAATAAATAAATAAGAAGTGCCTTCTCTTAAAAAAAAAAAAAAAGAAAGAAGAATTACAGGGGCAGATGTGGGAAGAGAAACCATGGTGTGTGGAAGCTGCAGATTATGGCAGAGGTGCAAAAACCTGCAGGGTGGGGACCGGGACTTTGGGTGCCCGAGTCCCCAGTTATACTTCCAAGCAGTTCAATCTCACTTCTTTAGGTGAGGATAGGGAGGAAGGCGCCTCCCAGAGCCTCCTGGCCTGCAGCACCTGGAGGACAAAGGCATCTGGACTTCCAGTCCCTCTTACTCGGGCTTTCTAGGCCCTTTGTGAAGGCCAGCTGCTGGGTCATACTGAACAGCCCAAGCCCTACCGAGGGCTGAGCGTGGCAGCTCCAGCAACACCAGGGAGCTGTGGATGATGAGCACTCAGCACCACTCAGCTGCTCAAAGGCAGCTGGGTCACCTACTGGGAGCAGCCCTTTCAGACACAGCTATTTTTTTTAATATTTTTTAATGTCGATGGACCTTTATTTTATTCATTTATTTTTATGTGGTGAGGAGAATCAAACCCAGTGCCTCACACATGTGAGGCAAGCAATCTACCACTGAGCCACAACCCCAGCCCCTACAGCTGCTGTTTTTTAGTGGCTTCCCAGGATGCAGATGAGTCCCTGCCTTGAAGACTGAGTGGTGCTGAGCTGTGGAAGCAGGCTGATACCGGTCAGGAGCAAGCCAGACCTCTCTGGCTGTCCCTGGGAGACAGCAGTAAGCTCCAGCCCTGCTCCTCACTGCACCTGTGCAGTTAGGTTGCCTGGACACTTTCACCTCCTTCTTGGCCTCATCTGCCTGTCCAGGACTTACAGACTCACAGGCAGAAAAGGCATCTCAGGGAGGCCGGACAGCTCCCTTCCACCCATATACGAACTTGGAAGAACAGTGCCCGGGAGCCCTGCAGCAGAGCAATGGGCCAGGGAAATTGGATCCCAGCTTGAAATGGCCCAAACACATCAATGAGAGTCTTGGAGGCAAGTCATCTAATCACCTTACCCAGATTAGACACCAGACAGGGCCTGTGGACAACTTTCAGCGCACAGGAAGGACACGCTGGGAGCGGGCAGTCGCTTCAGGCGCTTTTTATTAGGTTCCACTGCAGGGCTGGGGTCAGGGTAATGCTAGTCCAAACCCAGGTGATGCACACCTGTGAGCCCAAAGCAGAGCACCTATGTCCCAGGAACAGACTGGCTGGGGGTGGGCTGGGGTAGGCAGGACTGACCAGGGCCAAGAGGGGACCCAGGCACCCACTGTGTTCGCCTGGGAAGGTGTGTGCTCAGGCACCCCTCTGGAATGTGGTGCCTGGTGACATGAGGGGATGTCCACAGGAATGCAAGATGGGCGGGGGTCACTCCTGAGCAGGAGGTGGTGCCTGGGCCTCCCAGGCCTGTGCTCTCAGCAGGGCTCACCCCAAGCCAGCAGCATGAGCTTGACTCTCTTTGGACGATAAAATAAAGTGCATTATTGAACAGAGTAACTCAAAACCATAAGCAGCGAAATCACAACACTTTCTTTAGCTAAAAGACAAAAAGAAAACATGGATTGCATGGATGCCAGAACTGCAGAGTGAGAAAAACTATTGGTTGAGAAAAGGAAATTAGCTTGGTGGATAAAGATGAGAGCAAGTGGAGAGGAACACAGGTGTTGGGGCAGTGAGTCTCCACAAGTCTGTGCTGTCCAGTACCTGCCCAGGCTGGGCAACACCACTGGTGTGAATGGCCCTAGAGACAGGTAAGCAGCCAGCCAGGCCATTTGGCTATACAGCTGACCTCAGGGACCAGGTAAGACAGGGAAGGCAAAGCCCCAGCCAAGACAGCTCCTAGGAGGCAGACCAGATGACCCTCCACACCTCTATAATGTGTGGCAGATGGGGGGAGACTGCTTGCTTTACAGCCCTGCTGTAGCCAGGCCAACCTAATGGGCTTGTGGCTCCAAGATCAGAAGAAACCTGGGCCTTCCAGGGGGGATGCCATGCCAGGTATACCTGAGGGTTCTGGTCACAGCCCTGCCATGAGAGAGCCCAGCAGGCAAGCATTCTGTCTACATGACCAAGAATGGGGAGGGCTGTGTAGGTGTGTCCCTCTAGGCAACAGACACACAAGCCTCCAGGAAGTCTGGCTGGGCCGGCCTTTCCCTGGGTGCAGCACAGCTAATTTGGCTCTTGTTAAGGCAAAGAGGCATCAAGATGCCCTCGGCTCGCCTGGGGTAGGCCTGTGCCCCAGTCCTATTGTGGAGGACACTTAGAGACCATTAGGACTCTTGTGGATTGCCTGGTCCTTACACTGTGTGCATGCTATCAACTTTCCAGGCTCCACAGAGGTCCTGTTTCAATGGCCAAAGCACTATTCCAGACCAAGGCCTGGCAAGGCTATGGGTAGAGGAATGGTGCTGTGGGAGGGAATCGGGGCCCTGGTGTTCACCCATCCAGGCTATCTAGAGGGATTGCCCACCAGGCAAGGGCCACCACTCTGCTCCTGCTCAGCTGCCCATATCGCCAGCTGCCACAGCTGTGTGACTTGGTAGAAAAGTCTCAGGCACTGAGGTTTGCTTCATAGGAGGACTGACAGTGGGACCCGTCCACTACCAACTGAACTCCCAGGAGGGGCTGCGCTGAAGGAGGGAAAGAAGTGGAAACTAGTCTCTCTCATATCCCTGTTGTGCAGTTTTATCTTAAAAACAATAAATAAAAGTCTTCTGGGAAGGAATTGCTGAAAACTGTTATTGCAACCAGCACAGACTCTAAACTTCCTCCTGGTACGAGATGAGAAAGCGCACTAGCCTGCAGGCTGAGCAGGAGGCTGTGGCCGGCACAGGCAGGACCTCTGCTCCAGAGCAACAGAACAGAGGTAGCCAGGCACTCCCAACCAAAAAAAAAAAAAAAAAAAAAAATCAAGCGGGGACAGAACAGAAAGCATCGAAGAGGAAGGAAAAGAAAGCTGGGTGGCAGCAGCAACCCTCCCTGCACCACCGATTTCAAGTGATTATTTGGAGGTGCCCAATCCTTCCACGGCGGGGGGCTGTTGACGGGTGAGGCGTGCGTGGTGTTCTCAGGCAGGGACACTGTTTCCAGTCGGCTTTTACTCAGCCCTAGCACATTAGCTGAGCTCCCTCTCTGGGATTGGTGTCAAGAAGCTTCCCTGGGTGCCAGGGTGGCGGGCCCCACCCCTCA